TAAACTGAATATTGTATTCCGTTACTAATGAAAATCTCACTATAGTTTTATGAAAGAAGATTAATGTTCATATTTAACACATTGTGGTTTTTAGAGACTGGTTCTGTAAACAGAAGATTCTAGATTTCCAGGATAATAACACACAGTCCTTCAGGTCAAAGTCACAAATAGGCCTATTACGAAACCAATGTACAAATAAGATCCACTTGGGTCTTTAAAATATATATAAATATATAAAAAGATGAGGAACATTATTATTGAACAAAACAAAACGCTGAGTTCCCCCTGGGGAAAGAAGTGGTGCCAGAAAAAGTGACCGTGAACTGACTTCACCGATAGATCAGCGATGAAGAAGATGATTGGTTGAAGTAAACCCTGGTTCTATTCTGATTGGCCAAAGGTTCCTGCTTGCTAAAACCTGATTGGTCGAACTCTCCGCCTCTTTACCCTCCTCCTCTGTTATGTAATCAAAGCGTGTGAAATAACAACAATCGCTCCAAAGTTTACTACACATTTATTAAGCTGCTCTGAGCGGCTTTACTTCATATTTTTCTTATAACTTTTTAGAAATTAGCGTATTTTTGTAAACTTTCAGCATCTCTGAGGAAGCTGGTCCAAAACAAACAAACTAAGTTTTTAACGGCAGTAAAGGGAATGAAGCTGTTTTAACTCCTTATAACCGGCACCTGCTGTCAGTATTCCTGAGCCCAGCTGGGGGCCACTATGTTCCCGCTAGACTCTCCGTGGAACATCTCGTTCGCAGGCTGCGGCTTCCTGGGGATCTACCACATCGGCGTGGCCAGCTGCCTGCGGGAACAGGCGCCCTTCCTGGTGGACAACGCCAGACACATCTATGGGGCCTCCGCCGGGGCCCTCACCGCCACCGCTCTGGTCACCGGAGTGTGTCTCGGTAGGTGTCTGCTGTGGATCCAGGTGGACCTGTTAACTGGTTAACTGGTTACTGCAGGAAAACCAGTTAGAAAATAAACTAGTTTAAAATGACCTTTAGATTTAAAATAAATTAAATCCAGATTTCTGTTATCTGACAGTAACAATGTAAACGACATGGCCGGTTCTAGACAGGGGCCAACGGGGCCCAGTGCCCCTGTAGATCATGTCCTGGCCCCTGTTATGGCCCCTATAATGAAGACTTAAAAAATTCTAATGCTGATCTGCGCTGGAACAGACATGGTTACTGATTGGTCCTTTGGGTCTATTTCATTTTTATTCTTTACTAATTCAGTTTAACTAATTATTTAAAAACAATAAGGTGATAGCTGCAGTGGTGCTAAATGTTTTTGTTTTGTTCAAAACAAATAAAATAAAACTCTAATTTTTACAGCAGAATTTATCAGTTTTTCTTGAGTTCTAATTCAAACTTTGTAGAAAACTGTAATTTTAACTTAAATGTTGTCAAAAAGATGTTTTTACTGCAGCCTAACCCTAAATTATGAACGTATATTGATCTAATAAGACATAAAATTTTAATTAAACCTAATTGAATAGAAATTTCAGTTCATGCAGCTATATTAATATATCTATATCTATATATCTATATATATATATATATATATATATATATATATATATATATATATATAAATCCCTTACCCTGTTTTTTATTTCATGAATAGATTTGGTCTAGAACTGCCACTGATAAACCATATATGTAATTATTTAAAAACAATTTTTGATCTGTCCATCCAGGTTTAATATGGAAAGTAAATGAAAAGTCTCATCTTCTCATTCTTTATATTCCAACACATCACTGCAATATTAATAATGGATCCATCAGTTAATTAATCATAACTGTCTATTATTAGCTTTTTATTTTTTGGGCTAAACTTTTATTATTACTTAGGATCAAGCTGATATGAGCAATAATGTGACTTAGACTGACTGGTATTTACCGCTCATAATTCCTCCTGTATGTTTAGCCTCTTTACTTTATTTTATTTTTTTTATTAAACAATATGTCTCGCTTGTATGGAATCAGAAAGGGCCCAAAATATTTTTAAACTTGTAAATCTTAGTTGGAACAGAAATAATGGAAGTTGATATTTAATGTGAAGTTTTTACCTTATAATATCATAAATAATTATAATAATTATATAATTATAATATAATAAATAATTAGAATTTAATCTAAATTCAGTTTAGTATTTTAATTACATTTTTTTTTCTCTTTATTGCTGTTGTAGATGTTATATTTTCATTTTCAAATCCATTACTTTCAGTTCCTTTTTTTTTTTTTTTCAAATTCCTTTTTTCAGTTTCAGGATTTTTCTTTTACACTTTCAACAAAAACAAAAACAAAAAAACAACAAAAAAAACAGATTTGAAAGTGTAACAAAAAATCCTGAAACTGAAAAAGAAATTTGAAACAAAAAAAAAAAAAACTGAAGGAGAGATATTTGTTTCTCAAAATATAAAATCCAAAACTGGAATAAAGAAAAGAAATAAAATGGGAAAAAGTGTGATTAAATTACTAAACTATAGTATTTTTTTAAGCTGAAGGAAAGAATTTAGATTAATTTCTTATTATTTTATGTTTGCTTTTTTAGTTTCTCAGATTACAAGGTACAAATTTGACATTCTTTCTGACTCTACACTTGTTCTAACTCTAAATATACACGTTTGAAAAAGTTATGATAAATGGTTCAATAATTTAAGCCATTTATTTCATGTTATGTAAAAATATTATCAGAGGGAATCATTTTGTTTTTAGACTTCAACTGATCTAATGTGGAAACAGCTGAAACTATAAGGTAGAAGTTATCATTTAAACATAAGAAGCAATTAAGTTTAGAAAATACTAAATGTTGACGGTTATTATCACTTATTGGTTTTTATTTGGATTGTTTGCTAATGTTGTTCAGCTCCTTTGCTAAATAAAGCTGCATCAATAAGTCTTTATTTTATTGAGACTCCAGTGAGACATGCTGGTCCTACAGTTCTTCTGTGTCCTGCAGGAGACGCCGGGGCCAGCATCATCGAGGTCGCTAAGGAGGCGAGGAAGAGGTTCCTGGGACCGATGCACCCCTCCTTTAACTTGGTGAAGATCGTCCGCCATGTTCTGCGGCGAACTCTGCCTGCTGACAGCCACCTTCAGGCCAACGGGCGACTGGGAATCTCTCTGACCCGAGTCTCAGACGGAGAAAACGTCCTGATGTCTCACTTCAACAATAAGGAGGAGTTGGTGCAGGTATTTATCATCTAAGTTTAAATTGGTGATAGAATGATTCTATTGGGTATCTGGTCCTTCAGGTCTCTGGATAGGGCGTGTAACACTGTTTTTTTCTTTTATCTGTAATGTTTTATGTTTTATTTTATTTTTCTGTCCAGCTGTGGTTGTTTTTATAAATGCTTAACAAATAAGATTGGATTGGAATTGGAAATAGAAAGATTAAATCAACTGACAGCAGCAAAACTAATCTCATAAGATCAATAAATACTGTATAATTTCATAAATTAAGCAGAAGCTAATGTCATTTTCACATTATGTTATTTATCGTTTCAGGCCTGTGTCTGCAGTGCCTACATCCCAGTATACTGTGGCCTCATTCCTCCAACACTCCAAGGAGTGGTGAGTTAATTGCTGGTTTCCTTTGCTCACTTCTTGTCTTTCTTCTGTTTTTCAGGTAAAATAATCTAAATTTAACCCGGTCTTCTAATTCAGGGTTGTTGCAGGTCATTAAAAGTCATTAAATTATTAAACTTAAGGCCTTAATTGGCATTAAAATTCATTAAATGTGTTTACCGTGGCATTTAAAATGCCTTAAAAAAAAAAATATGATTATAAAAACAATTTCATCAGATATATTATATCGCAGTATATTTGCGCGGAACTACTTCCGGTTGATCGTAAAGCCGTATGTTCGGGAAAGAAGCTCGAGGCGGAGAAAAAGCTAGAGAATGGGAAAATGCAAATTTAAACAAAAAAGGCTGGAAAAACGGGAATACAGGGCTGCAGCCTGTCGACGCTACAGATGAGGAATATATATATATGTATA